TCAAGTCGCAGGGGAGTTTTTCTCGTTACTTGCTTGAGGAATGTCAGGAGTGTATCCTACAGCAGCATCGTAAGAGGGCGGGGGCTCGTCTGGCTGCGGTACGATAGAATACGGAGGGTAGACAGGTCCGGGTGGCTGGGTAGGATACGCAGCTCCACCGGTGGGATAAGAACTATACACAGGAGGTCCGGCAGCATTCGGTGCATTTGGAGATAGGTGTAGGGTGCCTGTGTCGTATGTTGCAGGGGGTGCACTTGGTTGGTATGCTGCCGAGTCGGCAGGTCCCAAAGTTGGATTGCCAGGTGGATAAGGTGCGCAGCCGTTTGGCAAGGCGGGGTTAGCTATGCCTGGATTGACGATCTCCGTCATGGGATAAGATATTTGGTTCGGGACGCTGGAGTCATTGGACGATGCACTACCCGTCAACATTGCTATTGGATCCATTATGTCTACTTCTCTTGGGAGCGTTGTACTCTTATACAATTTCTTCTTTAGAGCATAGTAACTTTTACTGGTTTTTGCTCTGAACAGCCAGCGATAAGGCCAAGTCATCTGCAACAGCGTGGCCAGCCAAAAAAACAGAGGTCGAATCCACCAAGGCTTCACCCTCAAATCCACATAAGCAGAGATCCTCTTCTTCAGCCCAGGAATTTCTCTACTTGCTGAGAAATCCGTAAAAGCATCTCGGTGACGATTTCTTTCTATCATGGCTGCTGCTTGTCTCTCGTAATCATCCGCTGTCTCCTGATCACCAAACAAGACATACGGATCAATTCTTACTCGAGTAAGAGACACTGTACTTAGTGCTGGCATTTCTCTTTTGGAAATGTCAACCCACGAGCCGAACGAGAATTCATCGTGGTCTACGAATGTCACAACCCTCTCGGTATAAGTTTCTGTGCGGGACTGCCTGTTGCCATTTGCGTCCGTGTAATACACGACACGCGTGCGCGTCTCGAAATGATAGCACTCCACGACCATGCCAATCCTTGGTGCGACTTGATGCATTTTTTGTATGTAGCCCCAAGCGGTCTCATCCTGCATGATGTTTCTTAAGTAATCCAGCTCGTTGGAGAATATGCTTTCTATGAAAATGTACACAGACGAGATGCACAGCATTGCAATTGCAAAGGTTTTTACGTAGACGAAAATACGTCCGTTTTGAGTACACTGAGAAATTTCACAACCCACCAGATACACGATCCATAGGTAAAAGGAAAAAAACAAGTGCATGGAAATGATTCGCCATAAATTTTCATTTTTTAACAAGCCTCGTTTGCGGCTCAGTTCTTTGTCTTCGTTCTCACGTTGGTATTTCTGGACGGTTCTTTGGCAATCTTGAACACCTCGGTCGAGTTCCTCTTGGCTTCCGGCCCTAGCAACTTGCTCAAGTCTCCTTTCTAATTCCCCGTCAACCTTCTGTAACCTCCACTGACCTTCCTGTTCTTCCGTGCATTCCTTAATATTTTTCATGCACATAGCCAAGCGGTAGATGATAAATGGCAGGAGCAATTCCAGAATGACGGCAGAAATAAGGACCACAGGGACGATTACGGGGTTGTCATAAAAGTTAACACGACGATTCTCTTTGGTGTATACACTGTAAATAATTTTGTAAGGTAAGGTTTCTTCAGTGATGTTTTGAAAGAAAATCCTTGAGCACAAATTTCTGCAACTGCAGAATGCCATCAACATGCTACACAAAATCAATAGGAAAAGGAGTAGCCTTGCCATCATGATCTTCGAACAGGGCTCTGAAGTTAATTTTCTCAGAAACGGCTTTTAAATGTCACAATAAGCAGTATCGAAAGCATTAATTGACCGACCCATTTTTTTTTTTCGAAACTTGCTAACTGGTATGGGGTATCAATAAATTTGCAACTAGTGAGGAAATAGACTTCGTATAGACGTCTCTATTTTCTTGTTTGCCTAACAGGAGACGTGACGAAACAGATGGTAACTTTCATGTTACTGATGTTCTAGACATCTGAATTTCTCGTTAAGAACTGGTAAACGGTCTTTAACAGGTCAACCGAAATAAATTGACTCCTGACAAAGCATCAAATTATCAAATAAAGTCAAAGCTTTCGTAACCGATCACCTCGGAAATTCAAAAAAGGGATCGTAACTAGAGCTGGTCACTTACGAGAATGAGCTCTCGTAAGTGACCACATGGTAAAACAATAGAGGGTTGTCGCTTTTGAAAGCTTGAGAAACTCATTAATAATTCAAAAAGAAAAAAACTGAAAGAAATTGACGCCTTCGGGACCAAGTCAGTGTCCTCTGTACGGAGGTTGGGGTGGGGCTTGTTGATAATTTACAACCAAAAAAACTATTTTTCTTTTATTCTGCCATCGAATTTGCCGGAATCATTATTTAAACAGCAAGATAATGTAGTAAAAAAATCGTGATTAACTTATGTCTGCGATGTTTTGTGTTGAAGTCCCACAGTGGGATAGTTCATGTTTTGAAACCTGTCGCCATTGTAACTAGAGGACATTTAACTTATCAATGATTTTTGTGGTCAGTCACTCTTTGAGCTTTTTGAGTGCTACAGTGTCCAGTGATGGAGGTTAAACCCGGGTTTCGGGACCGAGAAAAAAGTATCCCTTTCCCCTGTATAGAGGAGTCCCAAAAATAGAGGTAACAAATACAATTATTGTGTGAAAATTATTATCCGGGGCCAAATTTTGTATCCCTGAATAGAGGTGTCTCTTGAATAGAGGTGTCCCAAAGGACAGACACTGTATCTGATTTAGACATAGCTAATTTTATAATTACATCCAATTTTTTAGACCATTAGCGCAGTGTGCTCAATATCTCGACATACCCACGCTGACGCATGAGCTAATTGTTAATTGCTGGTTTTCAGTGTCACGCCATTCATAATAGATCAAAATAAAAATCAAAACCGTTCAACAGATACACTCCGGAATCTGGGAAATGAAATCAGGTAAATATACCAAGTTCCTCGCCAAGATTCAGGTCAGAAGAATATTCCGTGTACGAGATATCCAAAGAAATGTTTTTTCCAAATTTATTGAGATTTGTATGGAGACGCCATCCTGGTGCCCACCTGGATGGGCACAACATGGCGGACGGAAACCAACAAAAACATCTGTTACCTGTTATCTGTTAAGCGTGAATTTATTCCTCGGCGAACTCATAAACATCAAAGTAATACTTTTTCTAATCTATGAACTGTTTAGATAGCAAAATTCCCCGAAATACGTCAACTTTTTTAACGTACAAGACAGCTCTCTCGGCCGTCATGTAAAAGCCACGTCACGCAAAAGCTTAGAAATTCAATCGTTCTCTATCACAAAACCAAGAACCCTTTTAAAGCGAAAATTTGTATGAAAATTAGCTTTCAGCTTCTCGAATACATCATGAAGTAAAATCTCAGTAGGATCAATAGTATTGTAGTTTGAATTTTAGTGACGTCATGAAAACCAACAATATTGCCCTCGTATTAACAAGACCTGATAAAAGGGGCAAGCGCTCTCCACCCAGGGGCCCCACTCACATATTTTAAAGACGGGGGTCCGAAGGATTTTTTTGGGTCTGACATTTTGGCCAAAAGGGATTCTTTTGGGTCTATGAAAGACGCCGGGATTTTTTGGGTCGCGAAAACAACACAGGGATTTTTTGGGTATTGTATTTTTCATCAGCTCAAATCAACAATAACATAAGCGCAATTTATAATTTTGTTTTTGACCAAAACCAAAGTTGAAGTTTGCATGTTTTAGCTTTCCAGAAGATAAATAATAAAATTTGCTGATGCAAAAACACTGAGGGATTTTTTTGGGTATGCTAAAAAAAGTAGAGATTTTTTTGGGTAGACAAATTTTGAAGTTGGGAGTTTTTTGGGTATAAAATATGAACCTCTTTCGGACCCCCCGTCATTAAAATATGTGAGTGGGGCCCCTGGGGCTCTCCAACAATAACAGATTTCCATCACTGCTCCTCTCTTAACATATCAGACTGCTTATCTGTTTCATTTCAATTTCGTTCAATTACATGAGGGAATAAAGAAAACTCTTCAAAGCTTCCGGGTGACACTATAGATAACTTGTTTTTCTCTTATATTTTCTCGACAGCCGTTTTTTAGAGGCATCAAGTCGCAGGGGAGTTTTTCTCGTTACTTGCTTGGGGAATGTCAGGAGTGTATCCTACAGCAGCATCGTAAGAGGGCGGGGGCTCGTCTGGCTGCGGTACGATAGAATACGGAGGGTAGACAGGTCCGGGTGGCTGGGTAGGATACGCAGCTCCACCGGTGGGATAAGAACTATACACAGGAGGTCCGGTAGCATTCGGTGCATTTGGAAATAGATGTAGGGTGCCTGTGTCGTATGTTGCAGGGGGTGCACTTGGTTGGGGTGCGGCCGAGTAGGCAGGTCCCAAAGTTGGATTGCCAGGTGGATAAGGTGCGCAGCCGTTTTGGAGGGCGGGGCTAGCTATGCCTGGATTGACGATGTCTGTCATGGAATAAGATATTTGGTTCGGGACGCTGGAGTCATTGGACGGTGCACTACCCGCCAACATTGCTATTGGATCCATAATGTCTACTTCTCTTGGGGGCGTTGTACTCTTATACAATTTCTTCTTTAGAGCATAGTAACTTTTACTGGTTTTTGCTCTGAACAGCCAGCGATAAGGCCAAGTCATCTGCAACAGCGTGGCCAGCCAAAAAAACAGAGGCCGAATCCACCAAGGCTTCACCCTCAAATCCACGTAAGCAGAGATCCTCTTCTTCAGCCCAGGAATTTCTCTACTTGCTGAGAAATCCGTAAAAGCATCTCGGTGACGATTTCTTTCTATCATGGCTGCTGCTTGTCTCTCGTAATCATCCGCTGTCTCCTGATCACCAAACAAGACATACGGATCAATTCTTACTCGAGTAAGAGACACTGTACTCAGTGCTGGCATTTCTCTTTTGGAAACATCAACCCACGAGCCGAACGAGAATTCATCGTGGTCTACGAATGTCACAACCCTCTCGGTATATGTTTCTGTGCGGGACTGCCTGTTGCCATTTGCGTCCGTGTAATACACGACACGCGTGCGCGTCTCGAAATGATAGCACTCCACGACCATCCCAATCCTTGGTGCGACTTGATGCATTTTTTGTATGTAGCCCCAAGCGGTCTCGTCCTGCATGATGTTTCTCAAGTAATCCAGCTCGTGGGAGAATATGCTTTCTATGAAAATGTACACAGACGAGATGCACAGCATTACAATTGCAAAGGTTTTTAAGTAGACGAAAATACGTCCGTATTGAGTACATAGGGAAATTTCACAACCGACCAGATACACGATCCATAGGTAAAAGGAAAAAAACAAGTGCATGGAAATGATTCGCCATAAACTTGCATTTCTGTACAAGCCTCGTTTGCGGCTCAGTTCTTTGTCTTCGTTCTCACGTTGGTATTCCTGGACGGTTCGTTGGTAGTCTTGAACACCACGGTCGAGTTCCTCTTGGCTTCCGGCCCTAACAACTTGCTCAAGTCTCCTTTCTAATTCCCCGCCAACTTCCTGTAACCTTCTCTGATCTTCTTGTTCTTCTCTGTCTTCTTTACCTTTTTTCTTGCACATAGCGCAACAGCAGATGATAAATGGCAGGAGCAATTCCAGAAGCGCGGCTGAAGTAAGTACCACGGGGGTGATTACAGGGTTGTCATCAAAGTTAATATGACGAGCTCCAGGCGTGGGAGGTTTCCAGGGTGTCCAGGACCTCTCGGTTGTTCGTGGATTCCAGGGTGTCCAGGGGGAAGAAGTGCTTCCAGTATTCCCTATACGGCAGGAGCTGCCTTGTCTGCCCCAGTAAGGATTAACACTGTATTTGCTTTCCACACACACGGCAAACCTTACAGAAGGATACGACCCACTGCAGAAAGAAAAGCCGAGATCGCCAGGCCTTTTTCCTGGATATGCAAAGTTCATTTCTGTGCCAGATAAGGGGTAGGGAGTGGGGCACTGTTTGTTAGTAGAGCATGTCACACCGGTGTAACCGGAAGGACAGAGACAAAGTGTTTCGTTACCGGAAGTGTAGATGCATGTAGCTTTACTATGACATGGCTTTGATAGACAAGTATTCGACATGGAATTTACTCCTCTACACAAGACTCTAAGTTCAGGTATATAACGCCATCCATTGTAATGGACCGACCAAGTCTTGCTGATGTACTCTGGTCGCAGGGCAAAATCTTTAGTCTTCATTAAAACGTTATCATTTGAATTTCTTGGTGAGTACCTTTCTGTTACCACCCAGAAGCCGTCTGCAGTGTATTGAAGGTACCAAGTCTGTCTACTATGCTGATACACAGGGCGAAGGTTACGGAATACACCTTGCTTGCGAAAGAAATAATCTCGAGTGAGATCGTTCACAACATTCCCCTTTCCATCGGTGAAATTGTCATTCAAGTAGAGTCGATCCGAGTTACATTCTCTGAAATCTTCATCCACGCATACAGCTTTAATCATAGGTGACGAACTACTAACTGTAACATAGTAATTGGTTTTGTCACGCGTGTTGAAAAACATCCACTTGTATATCAACCCTCCAAAGACATCACTTCTATCCAAACTCCCGGAGCTCAGCCAAGATACAGGATCAACGGCGCTATAAACAGCAGCAGCGACGCCAAAGTAGTCTTTTAGATTAAGTCCAAAGGCCAAGTATTTTTTGCCTTCCTTGGAAATCTTATAGTAAAACAGTAGATTGTCGTTTTCTCGCCGATACACAGGGAAGTAGTTGTGGTTGTTATTCTCCTTAGTAAACACACCTTCAATAATTTTGTAAGGCATGGTTTCTTCATTGATGTTTTAAAGAAAATCCTTGAGCACGGTGTTCTGCAACTGGAGAATGCGATCAACACGCTAAACAATATCCACAATGGAGGAAATAGCTGTTCCATCATGATCTCTTAAACTGGTGGACTTTAAATGGCCCTGCAGTCGTAAATGATGTCGCAACCGGAGGAGAGACATCCCGGGGGTGGTACTTTAGGAATTTCTGGGTGGGGATGTGCCGCTGGGACGCTGGAACCCTTAACCTATACCAGAGCTAGTTCAGCTGAATTTTGCTACCCTATACTAGATCGAAGCTGTTTCCCTTGTCTAGATAAAATCTTCAACCAACTGATCGTTTCTCCCTATTCTCCCAAACGCTCTGATTTACATACCCTATCCTAGAAACTGCCTCCATACCCTTCACAGCGGCACATACCTTTTCCCCCGGGAGAGACATAAATGTATTGCGTACATAGATCGAATGAGTGACGTCTCCTATTTCCGCCCGAGAGTCTTGTATTTTTTAAAATACAGCACTCTGCATGTTGGGCATCTGAATTTCTTGATAAGAACTGGTTAAAAATCGTCGAATCATCCTGTTTTCTCTAACCGCCATTTCTCGAAAAAAAAGTTCTTCTGACAAACTCGTCAAATCATCTTTAGAAAAAATAAGGTCCGTTTGTTACTTCCTGTGCGTGCGTGACGCCAGGACTCCGTTCCTGTCACAGTTTCAAAGAAAAGGAGGAAATTCCAGACTTTTCACCTTGACTCTGACGGCTACCGTTTCGCCTTGCCCGCCGGAATGTAATTTTCAAAGCGAAAAGAAAATAGAGTCTGATCTCAGGTTAGGAGGGAGGTAGTCTGCTTTTTTGTGTTAAGGACGACTCTAAAAACGGCTGCAGACTAGAGGGGAGGGTGATGTGGAGAACGTACGTAACTACTGTATAAAAATAACACCCCAAAAGCAGAATTACGTACGCAGCTAATTTGGACCCAATCACCTATCACGCTACTAATTTGGAATATCAGTACACCTCTCGGAAAATCTCTTTGCCACCCTGGTGGAAGGACACAGCATGGTAGAGGCTAGGTTGATGTACTTCGTTTGAAAACGAGAATTAGGTCGTGCTACTGCCGTTCTAAGCTGGTTCGACTTCAGCACGACAGTAGCACGACTTGGTTTCAGGTGTCGAATTTAACTTAGTCGAATAAAATAGCTGCTGCGGAAAACAAAAATAAAAAATAAAAAGCGGTTTAGTGAACTGTTAAAATGTTTTCTAATGTATTTATAATTTATGAATTGAACGTAATTGAGTTCGGCACGGCAGTAGTAGCGTTTGAAACCAAGTCGAGCTACTACCGTGTAGCCCCGGGGAGGGGGGGAGGGGTACTTGGGTACTTTTTGGGTGGGTATGTGCCGCCCGGGGCTCCAAATTGGCACTCTGTTCCAAAAAAACTTTCCCCTAAAATTGATACCCCGTTCTAGAAATGGGCCAATTTTTTATACCCCGTTCTAGAATTCGCCCTAAAACTGATACTCCGCTCTCTATATATACTCCGTTCTAGAAAGTTTGTAAATTGAAATAGCCCTATTTTTTTAAAAAAGATATTTCTTTATTTGTTCGACTTATACATCAAATAAATGCTTCTTCATAATCATCCGGAGTACGTTTCCTGTTTGGGCCGTAGATCTTTTATAGATCCGATATGCTGTATTCTTTGCTTGGTTTTGTCCATGTTTTTTAGGTTGGTTTTGGCCAACTCTTTATTTTCTCTGCGAGACATCAACTTGACACTTGGACTCTTGCCCCCCAGAAGACACGTGGTATGACGTGATTCTGTGGGTGTTAGGAGTTCTGGGTCAGGGCTAAAATCAGAGTGCGCAGATATTTTTTCATCAGAGCCTGATCTCTGGTTGTTACGCCATACTGACGAGCCCCAAAGAGGGCGAAACAGCTGTCTATGGCTACAATCCCGCTCTGTTTTGAGTTCTTTCGGTGTCGCGTTGATGTCTTGCAGAGATAATTTTCACGTAGTACGATCAGCATTTAATATGTCTACGTTTCCTTTGCATGTGGATACAATGCGGTTAATTATGACGCAAAATCGCTCACCACGCACAGAACCACGCTCGTAAGCTAACGATTTTCCTTCTCCCCCCCCACTGTCCCTTTCTTTTGAGCCCGTCTCCATCTCCCTCTGGTACATTATTACGCGCGCCTATTTATGCAAGATGGCGGAGTCAGCGCTCGCGGCCCCCCCTGTGCACGCTAAAAGAAAGCCAACGAGAGTACAACAGTTTTCTTGTTAACGCATTGAACCGTATTTTTAAAAGCAATCTGTCCTTGAATAATTTCAAATGGCTGCTTACAAAACTGAAGCTTTCAGTGCGTTCGAAATATTCTGACCCCGTTCTAGAAAACGCCTCTGAAATGGATACCCCGCTAAGTTCTAAATCAGGAGCTTCAAAATCACGACCCTGTTGGGCAGCACATACCCACATAATGTATGGGAGTACCCCCCACCCCGGGCGTGTAGCACGGCAGAGCGGCAGTAATCTCGTACCCAGATCTCACTCTGTCTTACGCTGAAAATCCCTTGGCCGTGGGAGATCTGGGTACGAGATTAACGCGGCAGCAGCACGACTTGGTTTCAAACGTCGCGCTACTGCCGTGTTTAAGTCGAATTTAATTCAATCAATTTAGTTCCGCACGGCAGAAGCGCGACGTTTGAAACGGGCCTTACAACCGTTCTAGAACAGCCTCGGTGTTTGGGAGAACGCGACAATCGGCAAACAAAAAAGAACCTGTACCTTAGATGTGGTACCCTAACCCGTGACGCCTGTCCGCTTACAAGAGTGTCGACAGTCTGTTAGGAGGGCTTCTATTGTTAAGTGGAAGCTCACGGTGAGCGGACACCCTAGGGACGCGAAAAAGGTGTCTATTACTGGAGCTGGCCGCTTACGGGAAAGTGAAAATACAGAGTTTGTATGGGAGTTGAGAAAAACGGGGTTTTGTGAAGGCGGCCTTCTATAGGTAGAGCTGTCCGCTTACAAGAGTGTCCGTTAGGAGAGCTTCTACTCATAGTGAAGCGACAAAATTGGGTTTTAACCCTCTGAATGGTAAGGCGAATCCTTGTTTACATTTTTTGCCTCATCATGACACAGGCTTATCTTTATCTGATGAAACTAGTAAATTGAAATTTCTGAATATTGAAAGAGCATAACAATTTCAGTTTTCTCCGAAAATTTGAGCAGTTTCGGAGAAATTCCCTTTGAAAAACCCCAAATCTACAAAGAATGTATGAGCTCATTAACGTTTTTCCACCTCGTAATTTTGCAGTTTTTAATTGTTGCTATTTTCTTTGTTACTGATTGCAAAGAACCGAAATTAAACTTGCTCAAACTTCATAAATTAATCAGCTCTTTTAATTTTTGACACTAATTGGTATATACAGCTACACCTTCTACGGGTAAACTCGTGCATGCTAATGAGAAAAGATGTTAACAATGACGTCACGATGAATCCGCCTATCCGTTATCCCCTGTTTCCAAGTATAAATCCGGAAGTCTCAACCTTATCCGACATATTCCGTCAGATTCCGACCATTTCCATATAAGGAAACCGAGTTCTCCCCGAGGACGAGGGGCATGAGAACGGGCCGATTGTCATCTCAAAGTCACTTCCTGCCAAAGTTAGCAATGGTGATCAATCTGCGTCGTTAAATATTTTTTCTTGAGAAAAGAAAAGAAAGATCAATCAATGGAGGCTGAAGCTAAGTATCGCTTTGCTGCGTCTCAAGAAGACGAACTGTCCTTTGAAAAGAGCACCATCGTGAATGTGAGAACAGTTTTAGAGTCATTTAGCTACAATGAATTCTGTTTTGCACGCTCATCAAGTATCGCGATCGTAGGTCAGGTTGTTAAACTCAGCTCCATTCATTTTATTTTCAGGTGTTAGATATGGATTCTGACAAGAACTGGTACAAAGCAGAACAAGGCAATCGAGAAGGATGGATACCAAATACATATATTACCATGAGGGCGCACAAGTAAGTATAAGAACAAGCTGCCATTTTTCGTTTCTTCGTAAGCTTTTGGTTTCTCTCTCTACTTAATCAAGTGACTTTATCTTGTAATAGAAAATTTAAGTGTACAAAATTTCCATTCATCCAACAAGAGTAGAAAACTGAGAATTCAGCGAGATTTTCTAAACACGATTCTTCACAGTTCAGTTTCCGTTTTATTGATAAAAATCGACAGTTCTTCCGTGTTTGTCATAAATGCTTGAGTCATGAAATATGTCCACATGCAACTCAACATTCGGGTCTTGCTCCATTCTCTGTGAGAGCACTGCTTCTATCCCTGAGAGGATACTAGTCAATCTAAGAGTTACCATAGCTTTGTTATTTGTGTCGATCACTGCCCAAGTTGTGACAAAGGACCCCCCCGGGGTATTTTTTGGGTGGGTATGTGCCGCCCGGGACTCCAAATTGGCACCCCGTTCTATAAAAAATTTCCCCTTAACTTGATACCCCGTTCTAGAAATGGGCCAATGTTTTATACTCCGTTCTAGGTTGCAACAAGAGTACAACAGTGTGCTTGTTAACGCATTGAACCGTATTTTTAAAAGCAATCTGTCCTTGAATAATTTCAAATGGCTGCTTACAAAACTGGAGCTTTCGCACGTTCGAAATATTATACTCCGTTCTAGAAAACGCCTCTGAAATGAGGTAATGTATGGGAGTATCCCCCCCCGGCAAAGGACACTGTGGAGTATTACATGTATATGAGGTAATATTCGTATGTTAAGGGCATTCACTGCAAAGATTGGCCTTGATGCACTGTCAGCTCTATGCAAGGTCAGAAGGCTAACTACAAGGCTACTGTGTCTCCATTAGGCATACAGTTTGCGATAGCATGGTCATGCATGACTGTTATCATTGGCCAACGGCTGATCTGTCAAGTGGGAGGGCGCTGGCTCAAACCCCAGCCAGACCACTAAACAATTGGGGTCTTTGCTGCGCTTTTCATAAACACGCGAATTCTGAAGTTCAAAAGCTAGCCAAGTACTGACTTTTGTGCTTTTCGCTGCTGTCAATTATCTAAGCGGACCCAGAAGTTTACTTCAATGGGTTTAAAAGGCCATCGTTTGTGATTTGTGGATTTCAATCCATTTTGCGTGTTTCTGTGTTTCAAGGTTTGTAGCTTGTGATTGTAATAATATTATGATTGATGGCAGAGAAAAACGTGACTGGGAAGGTGGCTTTTGAACTAGAGTTCCATGTTTTTGAAAAGCGCAGTAAATGACTGAGGAGTAAGTGCTGCCTTTGTAAAGACATCTGCAAACAGTTAGACTTTGAGAGAGAAACCGTAGGCCCCGTCTCACAACCCTTGCACAGTCAGAAATTGGGATGTTAAAGAACCCACACACTGGTTGTAAAGAGTAGGGGATGTACTTCCTGGTGTGGTGTGGTCTATATCTCATGGGGTGAGTGACTGTTATATTGGGGCCACAGTATGTGTCGCCTGGCAGTGTCCCTGCCAAGAATTGGCCAACCTAAGTACAGTGTAGATAAATAAAACAAATAATATTCATTGATTGATTCTCAGTTGGTTCCATGGCAAAATAACTAGAAGACAAGCTGAAGAAGCCCTTTTACAGCTTCAGTTTGAAGGGGCATTTCTTATCCGAGAGAGTGAAAGTTCTCCAGGTACATTAATTATACCATTTTATCAGATTAATTGGAAAAGCTCAATCAAACGTCAAAATTTTCATGTACTGAAATTAATAGCTATTTGGGTTGACTCAAATGATATAAGTTTGACGGTTGATTCAGAAGTTGAAGTCAATTAGATGGACTCAACTCATTCATGAACTGCAATGGTCTACAATGTTTAAGGAGAAAATAAATTTACAGTAAGTTTGACGTTTGAAACAAAGTCGCTCCTTGCTCAAAATTCTCATGTGGACTACTCAGACTTAACCCTTTAAGTCCCAATAGTGACCAACATCAATTTTCCCCTAACAATATCCATACAATTTCAAGAGATTAGGTTATGAGAGTTAATAAAATGATCGCCTGAGAGAAAATGCTTTGATCTTTTATCAAATTCTCTCAACTCATTCTTTAAGAAATGTATAGAGAACAGTTTGGAGAATTTGTATATTGGGGCTTAAAGAGATAATTCGTGGGTCGACTCCAAATTAGATATGTTGGACTTAATATTGACTCAAACATTGATCTTTTCATGTAGTTAGTTGAAGGAAATAGGTTTGGTTCATGAAAAGATCCTTGTTTGAACTGGGCCTAATATTCAAGACATGTGTCACTCAATCTAGTTAAGTTAAAATAAATCCTTCAGTGTGAATCTTGGCTACCCAATTAGGCATGGAAGACACATATATATAAGAGAAAAAATGTTTTTATGAAAGCATTAGAAAAAAATGAAAGACTATATTTCATTAAGAAAATGAAAAAGTAAAAAGGCCAAAATTGGTGACTATGACTTTATTTATTTTGGAAAAATACTCTTTTTTGAATCAAGTTTGCTAATCCATTTAAGAAAGTGGGATGTTGGCCCTCATTCATTTTTTTGTGTGGGTGTAATGGACAGCAACTTCCTTCAATAACAAAATTATGCAAATAAAATTAACTTGGCCAGCATCCAAAAAAACTGACCTTTCCAAGGTAAACAGAAGATACTGTATACTTAATTATTGTTGTAATAGTTATTCTTATTTGTGTTAAAGCTATTCTTATAAAATTTTAAGGAAAGAGTTTGCTATACATTATTTACTCCTTTTCACCCTTTAAAGATCTCCAACTTATTCAAACATTTAAGGGGCATTAATGTGCCTAAAGTGTTTGAATAAGTTGGAGATGTATAAAGGGAGAAAGGGTGTAAATGAGGTATAGCAAACTCTTTCCTTAAAAATTATCTAAAAAGACATAAGAATTATTATCTTGTTTCTTTTATCATATTAATTGTTAGTCTATAAGGCAGCGCAAGGCCAGTTTTAATGAATTATTTGGTTGTTCCCTGACTTTTTTTTTATCTTGCTCTCACTTTCAGGAGACTTTTCCCTTTCAGTCAGGTAAGTACAGGTATTATTTTGTACACTAAATTAAATTTATGTGTAAATAATTAAGACTGTGCTGCAGGTACACTGAGTACATAAAACTGTAAAATGACTAATCAGTGCATGTATCTACCTCATTTCAAATAATGTTAAGTTTGCACCCATGAGCAAACAAACTGCCTAATAATACAGAACGGTACAGATCCAAACTTCCTTATTACATAGATGTCTATTATAGAGGTAGGGGTTGTAGGAAGTTGTGCATCTTTGGGACCAGGTCAATTGTCTGTAAGAGAGAGGTGTCAGTTAAAGATTCCTCACACACCCAGACACCCTAATGTCACATCACCATCCAACCTGCTCTTACTCTGTGAGTGGAGGCCCTTCCGTGAGTCTTATCTAAGAAGATCGAAGGGCTTCTGCTTGCAGGGTTTCTTCCTCTAAAAAACAACAAATTAAAACAACGACGGCTCTTATTTACTACCCTGATAACTTTTATAGGAGTGGCGACAAGGTGCAACACTTTAAGATCTTCAAAGATGAGGAGAAAAAGTACTACTTGTGGATCAGAAAGTTTCCGTCTTTGAACCAGCTGGTGGAGTATCACAAAACAAACTCTGTCAGTAAAACACAGCACATACTTCTGAATGAAGTGGAGTTTAGAGTAAGTGTTGAGTTCAATTCTTCTCATGTATCGAAATTGACTTCTTAGAGTTAGTAACCTTGACTTGTCCCCCAGAATAATTATAAGAGAAGGTCCAAAAAAAAAGTTTTTTCGGCTGACAATACTTGAACCTAAAAATGACCTGTGTACATGCATTCATTGGCAGTCCTACCATTTGTTTTATGTTTATACTTCAATCTCTGATGTTCTTAGGGTTGTATCTCATAATTTTGGCATAAGCTAGGTCACATGACCCTGAGCCACAATTACACTGTAAAAACATTGGTTTCAATTGCAATAGCCATTTACATGTACAGGAATGCTTATGTAAACCTTTTCTTTCAAAAATTACAAAGGATGAAATGGTGCAGGCATTGTTTTCCTTCACTGCTCAAGATGATGACGAGGTGAGCTTCAATGCTGGAGACTGGATCACAGTGCTGGATAAAACAAATGAGGACTGGTGGAAGGGGCAAGTTCATGGCTGTGTTGGAATCTTTCCTAGAAACTACGTGTCCTCTCCGACACTTAACAAGACTTAAAGAAAGAATAAAATGTGATGTATAAATTTATTATAATAATTTATAAACACCAAAGAAATACCAGTTGAGCAAAACATGATATCTTCACATGTGAAAATAACATGTTATCTGTATGCATGAAAAGATTGTTGTTACCATGGTTACATAATAAGTCCCATCTTAGACAGAAAACAATGTAGGGTTAAATAAGTACATGCAGTTTGGTATTTTATTGGTGTTTTATATAATAAATAAATTAATAGAATGTTACATGGTTGCTTGGGGATAGGAAAATTCTCTCCAAGTTTTGAAAACACTGTTCAACACTCGGGGGAAAATGTGGTATCCCTACATGTCCATGTAATATCTTCTATGTATGATATTCCATACATGCACATAATTTTAACAAATAATTTTGTTTATAGCTGTACATGTAACTGTGCACCCACAAGTGTTTACAGTGTAGTGAGTTCCTGTTGTTGAATGGATTTTCCATGCACTAGATATACAGATATACACTAGATACATTGTATGTACTGTGTACATCTGCATTTTACAGCTGACAGGCTGTACATGTAGTATGCCTGTTCACAGTGTAATGCGTTCCTGTTGTTGAATGGATTTTTCATGCATTAGATGTATATTTAGGTACAGTGTGCTACGTAAAAGATGTAATCTTTATGGCAGTACAGGGTCCTGGAGAGGTGACTTTCCTCTGAAGATATTAGGGGGAGGAGGTGGAGGTGTTTGTCAGAAATATTTGAAGACATCTCTAGGTGGATCAGCTGACTGCACTGACAATTATTTTCAGGTTGACAACGTAACAAAAATAGAAGGGGCATTATAAAAGGTACTGAAACTGCCTTCAGTGGTACAGTGTAGTCCTTTTCGTCTTTATCACCCTACAAAGTGTTACCCTCTAGTGAGCACCACTCTCATTTTTGTGGGCAACTCTGCCGTCTGCCCCCCCTCTAGAGTAAGTTAAGGTGTTAGCTAATTAGTCTCCCTCATAGCCCTTTTGTCTCATCATGCAATGCTCCTCGTTTTCGGGCAGTAGCGTTGCATGATAGAGGCAAGAATGGCTGCGAGGAAGACTTAGGTAATCAGCATTACCTGTCAGGAACAACCTAACTATAAAGTAGCGTCAATGGAATGTTCGCAAAGTGAAGCTTTGTGTAGATATTAAGGGTTTATTTCTTCCTCTATGGGTTAGGGTTTTAATGCTAGTTTAATATCTATTTATAAGAGTAGGTGTAGTTTTTTTTTGTGGTATATGGGTACTCAACAGGGGTTGGACATATTTAATAATTCAAACTGAGAGATACTTTAAAATAGTTAAAAATAAACAAGACAATATTTGTGTTGTAAGAAATTGAATATCGAGTTAGGAGGAAATGAGTATTTTTCCGTAAGGCAATATACTGCACTGGTTTTAAAATATTAGCATGTAGTATATAATGTATGCAATGCTGCAAATTGGAGTTAGTTGTATCCATTCACGGTTTGGTTGGAGAAAAACAAAAGTTTTTGTCAAATCATGTAGTAATAATAAATTTTAAAATTAACTTTTATTACAAGTACATACAGGTTTATACAATGTAGGACTGTTTTTATGTCCCTTCTCATATACACTTAAATAAAAAACAAAAAACAAAACTGCGGGAAGTGATTATTTTGTTTGACATACATCTAGAACTGTTTTTAAAGATAATTGCCAACGGAAAGTTCAGCAAGCATCTAAGTTAGAAGTTACCTCTTTAGGCTGAAAACAGAGTCTAGACACACTCAAAAACCAGTTAGTGCTTTCTATTGTGTTATTGTTTGACATAATGGCAAACTATTAACCTCTTACTTTTGAAACAAAATATGAGCAAGTTAAGGAGCTAAAACAAAAAGCAAACACCTTGAGGCCCCGTGGCATTTACACGGGTCCGCACAAAATTTTGAACAGACAAAATCTTGCAAAGATCCTGCTTTCGTTTACATGGAACCCAGGGAACCGTACAAATTTTTGAACGGCCAACAGTGCTGCAATCTGTCGCGAAATTTGCACAGAAATTCGTCCGTTCACAAATTTGTTCGGATCCGTGTAAACAGTAGTCTCTCCTCAACGGGAAAACCATTGCGTGACGAGACAATGGCGAGGGAGACTACGCAAACCGGGTCTGAGGTACTGTTTCCCTCCACTTTTATTCAAAGCAGCTTCACGCCGGTTCTACTTTGCATGGAATGACGTCACGTATAGAGGAAAACGACCGCGGCCCAAGATGCAGTATGTTTTTTACAATCTTTATCACGGATAATTTTGTTAAGGCTCGATTACCACACCACTCACTCAAGTCTAGTGTTTTTTCCTCCCCAATAGGATAAGATGATTGAGAACTCAGAGAGGTCAAATCAAAAAAATGATGTCCTTTTCGGAGAGCCTTGATAACAGTCTCGATCTATGTATGAACATTTGAGCCTACTTATTCAGGTTACAAAACAACTCAGCACCATAAACGCCATTGAGGCTCTCTTACGTGGAGGAGGGGGAGGGGTTTACCGTTATGTATGTCCCTAATCTGAATTTCAAATACGTTCATTTCGAATTTTGAGGAGTAGGCCATGTCCCTTTTGGTATTTAACCATCTTTATGTCGTTTGTCCACCATTGTATCCATTTTTGTCTTGTGTCACTGGCCATGTCGCTTGTCTGAATTTCACCCACGGCCTCGCCCATATCAGATGGTTACCGGTCGTTTCGATACAAAGTTGTTTCGATACAAGTTTATTCATTTGAGGTGTAAATAGTTCCACGTACTTGGTTTACAGAACGAAGATATTCACCTCAAATATGTTTCTTGTTCACTCGAAAACTATACTGGAAGTGAACAAAATGTTTGTGCAATTTCACTGCTTGACTTTGTATCGAAACGACTGGTTTCCTATCAAAGGTGCCAAAAAGTGCTTAGGACTATGTTAGACATTACAGTCGTATATCAAAGCGGGCAACATTGTAACAAGACAGACACACCAGCCACTCAGATAGTGCTGATTTCATTCTGCTTCCGCAATACTTCATACAATATACTACCACTTTAGGAGATGTTACGAAGCATAGATTTGAGGATGGGAAAACTGTCCATCCAATTTTCTCGTCAATCAGATTTAGCATGTAGACAGAGAATTCATTTCATGGGGTCATGAAAATCTCCCCATCCATGGAAACACCTTGTAAACTGATGTGGCTCTCTTCCTCTAAAGGTACAGCGCAGTTTCCGTATTGGACTAGAACTGTCAAGTTGCATAAGGTGTTGAATATAAACCTACAAGCAACAAAGGTGTTTTAATTCAACGCAAACATCATCGCAAGTCACAAAAGCGACTCATTTTTGCAATTACGAAGGAAGGACGTCTGAATCCCGTACAAGCCTTAATTTTTCAGCCTTTCTTTACGTAACTGCAAAAGTTGCGTCTGTGACTATGATGATCTTCTATATATTAAATTATTCAACTCGCAGTTGTAATAATCATATTCACATATTTTTTCATTACAGGTGTATATATATACTGCCTCCCAGTAAACAAAGCACTACCACTCGAAGTGGCCAAAGTCGGTTTCTTACCTCCACGATTAAAAAAAAAAAAAAAACGGGGCGGAAAACTGCCCCATACTTTACTTGTAACATAAAAACAAAACTTGCGTTTTTCGAACAAATATATTTATGCATTACACACAAAACAAAATTTCGAAACTTCTTATATGAACGCCCGCGTCCATACAAACTTGACATGGCGGAAGACCAAAATTATCTCACGTTTGTCTCAGGCACAGTTTAGTGAAGTCAATTTCACTTGTGCATACGAAGGTTTTTTAATAGGCCATTTCCGAGTTCCCCCGGGCCTCTGTAACAGAACAAGGTTAAGTGTTCAGCTTTTGCTATCAAAATGCAAATAAAGCTCATTTTCACAAGAAAGGTTGTGTGGGCACTTGGCCTCATTTTGAAAGTGAAGGTTTTTGGGACTCGTAAGTGGCCTATTTCTTTGTCGTGCATGAATTACTTAGTAAACAAATCACTATTTAAGGCGGAAGCGCTAGTAGTACGTGCAAGGAGGGTGTCCAATCATGGCTACTTTGGAGTGTTTAAGGAATGATGTAAACAGGTTTAAAAGTGATCTTGCGTCTAGTTGACAATGCCGGTAGGCGACTCAACCAAAATTTGCTAGCAGAGTATTGACGTGAATTACACTTCACATACACAGATATTAATAAACATTATACTCACCATCTGTCTTCTCATTGGCTAAGAGCCTACAGCTAATTTTGCAAATCAGCGCAACCTACAGATTAATCAGTTATCTGCTAGCAGATAACTGACTAGTCTGTAGGTTGCACGCGCAATGCATGATTTCCAACAACGATATCAATTTAGGTTCCATGCGACGGTGTGATTGCCGTTATTTTCTTGAAAAGAATGTGACAATCAAGGTCTCGGTAAGTGTTACCAGCCTCGGCCGTCCGCTCGGCTGATAACACTTACCTGGATATCACAAACACCTCATCCAATAATACAAAGTTACTGTACCTGGGTACTTTTGATGGCCATTTTCCTTTCAACGTCACTGGATTGTGGTCCCATCCAAACAAATACCTTTAAAGACAACAAACAGTTTAGTAGGAGAAAAAGAACCAACCAAATTTGTTCATACTGTTTGGCCGGTTGGCGATTACATGACCTTAACTAAACTTAAATGCATTCCTCGTAGCACAATAAATAAAATAGATTCCTCTCAGAATGCAATCAACAAACAAACAAACAAAGCGAAAAACGTTTAATGACAAAAATACTGTCGGAGTCATCCTGACGCCTTCTCGATACAAATTTGATCACGTGATCTTAGACGATTCCGCACATCACAAAATGTTCTCGTACAGGGCCAAAAATTCAATACGGCATTT